GATATGAAACTGCAGGAATGATGGTCAACCTGACCCAATACATTCAATACTTACAATGGCTACTACTGAGCTTTTTCAAAAAATGTGAAAGCATATCAAGTAAAACGCGAAAGAAAAATTGAGCACTATTAACGAACAGTATCAAGTTTACTAACCTCCTGGAAACATTGAAAGCTGCAGCAAGTCGATCCCCACTGTGTCCCATAGTCTCTCCACTAGAATACTCTGCTACTGCTGGTAGTTCGGGGCTGAACATGTTCTTCACTATTTCGGTTCCTGCAATATAGAGCTGAAACGCAAAACAGGAGAAAAGCAGTGAAGCCTACAAGAAGTAAGTAATTCTCTGCAATACTCACCAAGCTTCACTTTGTCGCCAAGCGCCTTCGCTTTCTGCATGCTCAGCATAGCTTTTCGCGCCTACGACAGGTGGATTTGCGTTGATAACAAGTAACTCAAAATGCATACCTTTCGGTTGTATCTAATCGGAACATCTGATAGAAGTTCCACACCACCAGCAATGATTGCCTTAGCGTTTCCCGTGGCCAACATACCCATTCCAGTCGTCATTGCAACATTCGAAGAAATGCAAGCAAGAGTGACAGTATGGGCAGGGATCTAAAGGTAACATGTTTGTCAGAATTAAACCTTTAAATGTGGTGCATCCCCCCACGTTGTTCCCACAGATACTGTCAATGTGGCTGCCTTTCAATCGTTCAACATGTCATATTCAAATAAGCGACTACCTCCTGAAATTTGCTAAAGTTACCGTGTCAAAACGATTGAAAGCAGCCACGTTGATGGTATCGCGAATAATTCTGGGAGATGCACCATAAGTAAACATATTTGCATGGATTAGATAGATTCGCTGCTACAAGATCCCCCAAGGGAACTAAATAGCAAGACCCGGATGTTAAAGGCACCCCCCACCCACCCAAATTGAGGTTGCTGATTTGTCATTGTATAATAGCGAGGCATCTAACTAAGTAATCACGCAAGTCCCGCTGCAGAAGATTGATTCCAAAGCGAGAAAAACGTTCTAGGAGGTAGAAGCGGCCCAATTGGCTCCGCCCACCAATGTGGGTGGCCTGAGGATGAAAGGTCCCAAATCGGACTACACCTTGGACAGAAATGTCGCAATCTGCCGATCATAATCGAAGGAAGATATGACAATTCTGGATGTATCAAAGCTCACGTTGAGACTTGCACCTTCAGAACCACCCAAATTGG